AGCAGATACCATACTTTTAGACCTGACACAGCATAACGTGGATGAAATAGTGGAAGGCACAAGAGCAGGTCTGAATGTCACTCAATTTTTTTCGGCTCTGTCTATTATGCTGCTCCAATATGCATGGCCGACTACGGGAAATACCTTGCTGTTCTTACACTACTCTTGCAGCGAAACATATGATTTTGCCTCCGTAGCTGCTTGCTTTACAATTGCTGGCAACACTGAGACTCACTGTGTGGTTGGTCCCTGTCAGTCATCTTGGAATATTGAAACATCGAAGTATGAAGTTCCATCCAATGAGACTTGTAGGCTCATTGTAGCACCTTCGCCCTACAGCCATGACAGTGGCAGCTCCTGTTTATATGCATATATATATATAATATATATATATATGTACACCGTCAAAACAAATATGAACTATTAGCGAATTTTATTGCTTATGCAATGTAAATGCCTGTAGTCCCCTAAAACGAGCTGTTGAAATAACTGAAGATTTGGGTATAAAGAGCACAAGTCCTCATCATTGGTCAATATAGTCCGAAAATTGAGAATTGTCACCTGATTGGTAGAGTATTTCAGTATATTCTGAAGTTAGTTCAACACCCAAAGTATTGCATATTAGTTCTGCACTAAATCTAAGTGATTTCTCCACTTCGGTTCACGCAAAACCACTGCTACAAAAATCTTGTGTATAGTGTGCATAGGCAGAAAAGTAATGAGCATCCTAACATAAGAAGACTAGAATGTATATCATGTTTCAATTTTCGTGTTGTGAACATAGCTTTTGGTTCATTGAGTAGAATGGCGTCATAACCACTTGAAAGACACGATCGAAAATAATCTATTCGTATACATATCTTTATGTCCATATCCTCATAAAAATTGAAAGAGGGTAGCGTGGGGCCAGTCTCTTGAATGACTGCCGGTAAGCACATGCAAATTAGGATATTGCGAGTGCTGCATGCCGACTAAACCTCAGTGTTTCGTTATAAAATAAGGGCTGTGCGAAAGTTCCGCACTCAAATGAACGCAAAGATGATGGTGACGAATTTGAGACGGAATAAGCAAGACACAAGTGATTTTAAAATATGTGAGATAGAATGTTTATGGCATCGTACATGTTGTATATCGGGACAGTGGTGACAAGTGGTTCTTTATGATTTCGGAGCAAATGGCTAACAGAGTAGCCCGGTTTCAGTAGGATAAACATGGAAAGCAAACAGTAGAATGCACAGCTATGGCCGCTTGGAATGGGAGTTATTCCCTTGACTCTTTATCCGCTTAGATAACAGAAACCACCTGACTACTGCAGATCACAAGAAGCACATCCTGTGAATAACGGAAAAGGTAAGTTTTGCTTACGGACTGTTTTGGATTTGCTGTCTGTGGCTACTTTCACTGGTTTATTAAGGGTATGATGAAATTTTCCTCTAGGGCGGTAGTTAATGAACCGTTTTTTGGCTACCTTCGCTACGTTTCAACTGAAGCAGTCACCTATACGTCAGTATGGTGATTTTGCGTACAAGTAGTTCTGTAGGAAAAAGTGGTGCCGTAATTATTCTAGTCGTACAAAGTGACATCACTTCAGGACTCATGCTTCTACTACCTGCCATCCAAATACTGCTCTCTTTCGAGGAGCATGACAACAGGCACAAGATTGTGGTAATGTCAGGGCAACGGAGGATACAAAGTGGACAAAATTTTGGAGGGTGTATGTTATTTAAGAAAGGTGGAGCAGATGTTTACACCAAAATACGTGCACGAGAACGAAGAACCAATCGAATTAGGGAGGTGCTACGCTGAATGTTCTCAAAAGAGCAAGAAGAGCTAGGACGGTCAAGAATCATATATCAAACATACTTTGCTCATCATACGCGTTCTTATGTGAAGTACATTGGTAATGAAGGACAGCCAACCCAAAGTCCTCCGCATAGCAGATTACTGTGGGGGCTCAAAATGGCGAGCAGGTACTAGCCACTGATTGTGACTTTAGAATGCTTCAGTTTACCATCAACCTTGGCGGAGAGAGGAAGATGGATATCCCGATATGAACTGATTAGCGATCAGTTGATCAAAAACTTTGACAGTTGCACTTTGCTGGACGAAAAGCCAAGCGTGAAAATCAAATTTGTTTGCAAAGGAATTTGCTTGTCGATTTGCCATTTCTGTGGTGGGTAGCCGCAAACTACCCTCCAGATTTAATGATCTATTTAGTACTGAAAATGTTTGACACCCGAAATTCTACTGTCGGAAATAATAAATTGAGTCAAATCAGGTCTTGTTTAGCAAATCTTTGCCTATATCGCGTGATAGCTAGAAGAATTTTTAGACACATCCATTCTCGTCCGCTTATTTTTTCGTAAATAGGGTTTAACAATCAGTTCCGGAAGCGGAACGCGTTAAGAGTATGGTTCGAGGGCGCACTTCTACCTCCATAAGGGATTGATGGCATATACTCTGTTATGAAATGTTTGGCCCCAAAAAGAGTGTTTCCTTCCGGAGGGTCTTCACGTTTGAAAGACTTTTGCCATGGAATTTAACCAGTACCAAAACCTTAAACATTTGTCTAAAAGGGCATCCAAATGGAAATATTTTTTAAGCTTTTCACTGACCTGGTTCATACAAGATAAATAGTTTCATCTGAGTAGTTCTTTCTTTCTTTGCGATTCAAACAGCTTTTTAAAGGGGCAGTTGATTGACAAAGGAATAAATCTTGTTATCCAAATGCACTCAATAAAATTTACACCAAAGCCTCCAGTTTGGTGAATGATTTGATGGTGTAAGCATCAGATCACGTCTAAGGTGTCTGGTTAAGATGCTTTGGACGCTTATCCGGTAGGATATCAACAACCCTGTCTGTATCAACCTGTCCATTGTTGAACTTCATGTTATAAAATAACGTTTGTTAAAGGTGAAAACTAATTAGCCGACCCATGTCGAACCCAAAACCCATTACCCGCATTATGTTCCTGGATGAGCAGCCAAACGACAAATATTCTACGTGGTAATGGGCTGATATTTTCAAAATTACTACCAAACGGACTTCCAAAATGCTCCTCAGACTCCTGTGTGGTAAAAAGTTGTCCTGTAGTTTAAAACAGTTAGTCAGGCTGTAATTTTTGGTTTTCGCACTCTGAAAAATCGCACCCTTTGTCGCAGTAGGCCCTCAAGTCTAATTTCAATCAGTAACCGAGCCGGATGAAACTAGCCTGACTGACTTCAAAATGTGAATAAAACTTTACGAAAGCAGACTGTGTGAAAATTCTGGTCAGTAAATCGTTTGCTTTGTGAGCGGATGTTGTTAGATGAAAAGCTGTACTGCGTTGCCGATTCACCCTAGGAGTAGCCTAATCTCTGTAGTCTTAAGTATAACCCAAAGGATGTGTTTAGTTAAATTGGGGTTGCTTCCAGCTTCTTGGCGCTCTCAAAGTACAGAAAATATGCGTCCATTGATCCCATAGCAGTGACAGCACTAATTTTTACCAGATTAAACGTTATACTGAAATTTTAATTCTTTTACTCAGCCACCCCCCCCCCACCATTTAAGCTAGCGATTCCGTTTCTTCCAGGTCCTCAAGTTAGCAACAATGAAGACTTCTCAAAACTACAGAAGGCAGCAAAACCTGTTACTTAAATTCGGGTTCCATACATCTTGACGCTACTGAAAATATCACCTCGGAGTCGAAGTCTACATAATTTCATCCCAGTGCCTCATAGTGTAACTATAAGAGCCTACGAACATTAAGTTTAGTCATAAGACTGAAGAAAATGACTATATGTCTAAGTTGCGAGTACAGTTAAATTTGGGATGGTCTGTTCTCGAGGAAATGAATCGCAATCGCTGTATAAGGTGCTGTTTTGTCATTTCACGTCTGCGGGAAGATTGTGGAAGACCAATATGATATACTCCACGAAAATGACATCTCAAGACTCAGAGGTCTTTTTAAGACAGTAAAAATGTCCCAGAGTTTCCTGCTCACGGAAATTCTCTCTAGCTTCGGAGTGGTTTACGCAACTGAACGTTCGTGCATCACAATAAAAGCTCTTATGTTCACTAACTTTTGTTTCATGTACAGTCATGAGTACTAGAGCTGCTAGTCTGTTCAATTAGCTGTTGTAGCGCTCTAGCAAAACGCGAGGCCATCCGTTATTGATCCCGTCAACTGTTGGAACGTTTATCACCCTACTGGTCTTAACAAACGCTCCTGAGTTATCAGTTTATTCAGCGACCTGAACAGCATGGTTGTGCGTGACAGATGACATGAGCCAGCCTCATATCAGTAAATAATCCCGTACAACGACTTTTTCGTGTCAATCTAGCAGGCAGTGATGGTTACCAAGGCATACCACATGAACAATTTCTACGTCTCAAATGCCAATCCCAAATCAGCAAACAAGCTTCTGATCAGATAAGCAGAACTGCAAGGGCAGCTTGTGCCGACGTGTAAACAAGCTCCGCTGTGATGGGAAATTTTCTTCGCGCACACTGGTGGCCGCTTATCGCGCAATCTGTCTGTCACACGCTCACACACGTATCCCAGCTTCAGCCTGTCTGAGCAACAGTGGGGTTGTACGTCGTCAGACTGCTAGACAGCTGGAGGGGTTAACCGCTGGTGTGTCAACCGGCCTGAGACTCTTGGTGTTCGGCTAACCACCTACCGTGACAGTCTCAGTTTAATAGAATTGCCAAGGGAACTATCGTCCGGAGCGGCCGAAATCCTATGTGAGTGTGTTTTCTTCCACTGTCCTTCCTGCTGTGTCATTCGCTGATCAGACAACTTCGTATGTATACACGAGGCCTACAACCAACATAATTTGATTGGGGGCTGGACCCAAAACACGGATGACTTTTAGTTCGAGAAAAAAAAACAATAGGTAGAGCACAATCGTTATGCTATCAGTGTGTTCTTGGTGCTGATCACTTGTGGTAGGCACCAGTCATGACTTTTCCAGGCCTGACATAACCATCGCATTTGCCGATCAGACCGGCGCTTCTTATGTGTCCAATGCAATTTTCACGCCTAGTAATCTCTTATGGATTTATTGTGTTTGTTCATGCTATTCAGCATGGCACCAACATACCATCCACTCCAAAGGAACTCAGTTATACAATTAATGAGGAAGCCGAAGTTGGCTCCTTTATAGGAAACTTGAAATTAGATGCGGAGCGAAAATTCCTCATTCCATACAGCCAGTTAACTCACTTCGAATTGTACGATGACTCAAAGCAGAATTATTTTCGGATTGAACCTGACAGTGGAAAGCTATTTGTTGCGGCTCGCATTGACCGGGAAACCATTTGTCCACAGCCTGAACTATTGTCTGGACGACTTGCTGTACAAGATCATCGAATGTGGGCCCCAACGCTCGGATCTGAGGAATACGGTCAGTCCGATAGTAAAAAATGTGAACTACACTTATCTCTGTTTGTGGCTCAAGAATACTGGATTAACGTGATAATTGCCATTCACGATATCAATGACAATCGACCATATTTCCCTATTGGGTCGGGAGAATCCACAAAACCAAATGTATACGTTGTAAGTGTCTCTGAATCTGTCCAACCTGGACATGAGGTCCCTCTGATTGGAGCCCGAGATTCCGATTCTGGGATTAATGCTGTACAGAGTTACACACTCCGAGGTGACGAACTCAATCCCGCCTTATTCGCTGTGTCCTATTCACCTCCATTTACACTCAATTTGATTGTCCTTGACGAACTTGACGCTGAACGCAAAGCGAATTACACAGGGGAAATTGTAGCCTGCGACGGTGGTCAACCCAGTCCAAAATGTGGTGTCCAACCTTTGCTTATCCACGTTACAGACGTAAATGACAACAAGCCGGTATTCGAAAAACAAGTCTACGAAGTTACGGTCAACGAAACTGTGCTCAATGGGTCAACTGTGCTTACTGTGCATGCTAGTGATGCTGACTCTGGTTCACATGGCAGCGTACGTTATCAGATTGGGCAACCGGTTAGTCAAGTTGTTTTGGATCATTTCGGGTTGGACGCATCCTCAGGAAGATTGTACACAAAGAAACCCATCGATGCCAAAGACACAGCTCTTTTTGTTATCCCAGTTCTAGCAAAGGATGGGGGAAATGTACCTTTAATCGGACAAAGTGTTGTGCGCATCAGTGTAACCGACGTAAACGATCACGCCCCCTGGATTGAGGTCAGACCAGTGCAGCTTCCTGGAAAGCAGGTCACCAGCGGTGTCAAATTTTCCGAAGGGGCGATGTGGGTTTATGAGAACCAACCAGTTGGGACCAACCTTGGTTTGATTATTGTCGGAGACGAAGATATTGGTGATAATAGTTTGGTTGAATGCAAACTTCAAGAAAGAGAGTACAGATTTTACCTTGAACATGCGAATTCAGCAAAAGGGAGAGAAATGTACAGTCTGAGTACCAACCAATCGTTTGATCGAGAATCCCTTCCAGACGGATCCACATCCGTTCAGATCACTTGTTCCGACAAAGGAGATCCGACACAAAAAACTGAGAAAAGTATAGCTATTCAAATACTTGATGTAAACGAGTTCAGTCCTGAATTCCCAGCAGACAGACGTAACTATAATATCCAGATCGAAGAAGGACAAAATCCTGGATCTTTCGTGTTCCAGGCGGAGGCAACCGATCTGGACGCCACTCCAATGATTTATTATTATCTGTCTCGTGAGGCACAAAGTTTATTCCATATCGATCCACATTCTGGTCGTGTCACCACGCGTAAACTACTTGACCGGGAATCTACACCGAAAATTCGTTTCACCGTGCACGCCACTGATAAGAACCTTCTGGAAAGCGATGTCAACTCCACACTCGCGAATATCACAATAACACTTACCGATATCAATGACAATGAGCCAACGCTGGTGGAAAATGAAGTGTTAAGAATTGTAGAAAATCGTCCAGGCTTTTCAGATCTTGTCGGACAGTTAATCGCAATCGACAAGGATGCTGGCCTGAACGGCACCGTGCGATACAAATTGCTTTCTGTGCTAACCGAAAATAACAATCTCGTGAACGATACGTTCATGGTAAATCAGGAATCTGGGAAGTTATTCACTTTGCGTAGTCTGGATAGAGAACAGTGTTCCCAGTATAGGTTACACGTACTTGCTTACGACTTGGGCACACCGGAATCAAAAAATACAACTCAGACAATTGTAGTTGACGTTTTGGATGAGAATGACAACAAACCTGAGTGGAGACCTATGCTACCCTTGTTACCGGATGGACAATATAGTGCGCAGTCTGCCTATTCAAAATACGCATCTCGTCTTCTGGGTTTGGATAAGGTTTTCGAACTAGGCCAGCTCAACACTACAGCACCTCTGCATCGGGGACAGCGCGTTTGCAAGCTAGCAGCTACGGATGCTGATTCGGCCCGGAATGCGAACCTTACTTTCCACTTGGTAACGACTTATTTTACACCCGAAATAGAAGGTGACGATACGCAACGCCTTATGTATCATTCGGGTAAAGCAACAACAATGCCAAACTATTTTATGGTCTCCTCCACATCCGGTGAACTAATGATCGGTGCGGGGTTGAGAGGCGCTGGATTATCAGAACCCGGGTTAGCAGAGATCTACCTGCGCGTTAGTGATAACGGAAACCCCCCACTGGAGAAGACTGCTCGGCTTTTTGTTCGTATCTCAGACACAAGTTCCAGTCTATTCGGAATGGGCACGTCTGGTAAAGGACTACTTACCTACCTTATCTCAAACGGGAATATCGGTATAGCCTTGACCATTGTCCTGATATTTGTTATGTGCCTTACATCAATATGCCTGATAGTGGCTTTCAGCGCACTACGACAACGTTCACAAGCACCGACTTGTTGTCCATGTTGCTACAAAACAGACGATAAATTCAATACAACACCACCACCACCGGACCGGTTCAACTACGCGTGCCTTACATCAATATGCCTGATAGTGGCTTTCAGCGCACTACGACAACGTTCACAAGCACCGACTTGTTGTCCATGTTGCTACAAAACAGACGATAAATTCAATACAACACCACCACCACCGGACCGGTGTCAACTACGCATGCATCCACAACTGATCACCGAGGACGGACTTAATTTAGACGGGCAAGTTAGCGTGCTGGGGAAATTCTATCATACTCCGAAATCGAGTTCTGTATTTTCCGACAGCGGAAGTCTGTACAAGTGGACACCAGAGGGAACTACCTACACGATTGGAAATTTTGGCCCTCCACCAATCTACAATTTTTCCGTTCTTAATGCCACAATGGATCGAATGCACGCGAGCCACACTGGCAGTGACAAAAGTGGGACGGCGCTGCTCTCACATGAACCAAGTTGCCCCACCAATCCTTTGTTTGATGAACACACACCAAGTACTGAAATAGCGAGTGTACAACGTGCGATCCACTCTACTGCACAATGGGATGGTAATTTTGATCATACGGAAAAGCAAAGTAATTCATCTGGAGGGATGCTTGGTCCGAAGTCGGAGCATTTTCAGAATAAGGTGAGATTACTTTTTGAAATTTGGCGCTGCATTTCGCGGCTTGTTTATTCGTCTCACGAAGGTCAATAGGATTTTTAGCCCATCAGCCCAGTATCTTAGTAAACACTCTGGATGTTAAATGGATCTAGGTGTATCACTGAATGCTCCCAGTGCATTACAGACACCCTTTCTAACAATTACTTAGACATTTGCACTTGTAAAATGTAACTCCTGAATTGATTGGTTTTCGTCTTAGTATTGTCTCCATTGTGACGCCATTTGCTTTTGGCATGAATATTCGTCTTCTGTCTGAACAAAGCAGATTGACTAGGGGGCCATTAAACAGTCAGTTTCACAGACATGATTGACTGAATTATGTGAAGCCGTTGTGAATTTACAAATTTCTGGTCCTGGGATATTGCGTACTTAAACTCTCATAAAAAACGATTCAGTTAGATTTCTTTGTTCAGGGGTTTTCTCTTGCTTCAGTTTGCCTTTCAGATGAACGCCCACAGAACATTCCAGTGAGTTGAAAACTAATCAGGCTACTGTTCACTGAATATGAGATATAACAGAATGTAAATCCACTAACGTGACAAACAGTCGAGTCAGTCTACAAGTCAATGGGACCGATTAATCTAGCTAGTTTTTGCCAAAAATCTGTCAATGGTAACGAACGACAGCCGACAATTGGGAGGTGTGATTGAAACTGTCCCACTTGACCCATGCAAGACATTCTAAGCGCGTGATGACTCAGACTTGACAATTAGCGGCACAGCCGGGAATCATGTGACCACACAAGTCTACCATTCCAAGTGGAAGTATGTGGTTACTTAGTGTGCTGCCTAATTTGCTCCCAGGTTTGTTTGCTCTATGAAGGTTTCTCATATGACTGTCCACCCGCCAACGGCAGTGGATACTGCAGTCTAATCGATCCAAGTCATTTTTATATCGAATGAGTCATACTTATCAATGTGAGACTGTGGACTTAGGTTTTATAACGGAAGAATGTCCACTAGGCAAATCATTTAGACGGCTTTGTTTCACTTTCTACTAGATATGAAATAGGTAATGTATTAAGACACCATAACAGCTCCTCCAATAAGAAGGATTAACAGGGGTGTTCGACAGGACAAAGTCAAAACACAGCTTTCGTGTCACCATTGAGTCCACCAACCGTATAAGTATAATTTAGTTTTCAGGAGATACGACTAAACAATCGGCATTCCAACAAAGAAAGCCTTCCACCCAACTTATGATTCTGCTGACATTACTGTCAGTCTGATTCGCAGCCAGGTTCAAGCCAGACCTGACTCACGAGATTCGAATAAACCACGCTACACAGAAAACGGGCTTTGTGAGATATGGTACTCCCTAATGGATTAAGACTGAATAATGGCCTGAACAGATCATCACATCACATTTACCACTCACTCAGACAGACAAACAGTAGCTCCAAATAGATCAGGTAACAATTTGCATCACTCTTTAAAAAGGACATGTAGATTGTACTAGACGTGTTAATAAGATGAACAGTCCCTTGTTCCGCAAGCACTACAGTAGCTCCTCCAGAAATTCAGTTAAAAAATCTCTTGGCGAACAAAAATGTGTCGTCCTGTAATTAGCTAAATAGCTCTCACATCAGGTTGGAACGAGCGTGAGTTTAACGCTAAGGAGACGCAGGGAGTTACGTTCTGTGTGGGATACTTGAATAGACTTATTATGTTCTCTTACTGTCTATTTTATATTGATACCTGATGATTGCCAGGACTTTGTGGTACGAAAAAAACTACCGCTTTAGTGAATGGATCTGTGGAAACCGGCCAATCCAGAGGACTGAACGCTGTGAGAACAGTTATGACAAAGCGCTCCACCGAAAGGCAAAAACAAAATTGCTCTTGGAAATTGTCGGGAATATTAGTAGTTCAGGTTGTAAGTGGCCGTTGGTTCGTTCGCTGAGCTGGGCAAATTTGTTTCAAACACGCCTCGACTCACAGCGACCTCATGATGTCACCACGATTGGTGATGAAAGGTGTGCAACAAAATTGTCCAGTTCAGCTAACAAACCGACGGTCAAGTGTGAGATGAAGACAGACTTATCGTGCTATTCCTACCAGAATCACGTGAACTCTTCGGCTCAGATCCATGATGGATCCACATATAAATGACAATTTTGGCGGAAGCATCTGCGGTTGATTAGCTCCGATATATTATAATGAATAAAATCCGGTAGATCTTACGCACCTAAAGAACAATTAAACTGTACAGAAAACATAGTTGCTGGATTTTCTATACCTCTGCACAGGCACCCGAAAAACCTGTTGTCTGTCCTCGAAGTGCAATACACTATTTATGCCAAATGTCGTCTTGTGGAACTCGCAAAAGGGGTTAAGTTTGATGTGTCATCAAACCGGTCAGTGCATCATATTATACTCCGAGAGGGTAGATGCGGAATGACGAACTTTAAGATGAATGCACAAGATTTACTTTCGGATCATTGTCTAAAATAACATATGAACAATTGATCGTTTTTCATTCATTTGATGGTAGCTGAGGAACGTTTGGTGCTGCCTTACATAGGACCACGACTCAATTACGAGTTGTTGAATCCGGCTGTCTAGTAACCAACGTATCCAAAAACGTATCCAGTAAAATCGTTTGTTTCGATTTTGCCCGTAAAGGCAAGGTTTGGGCGAAGGGAGTTGGAGAAAGCGAAAAGCTCATCTGATGAGGGCCAGACAGACCGGAACAAGGCTCTTGTTACCGACCGCACTCCAGCTTCCTGTATCACCGGATGTGTAATTCATCCTCGTAAAGTGATTGATATCCACTCTTCCTTTTGAAGTGATTGCGACAAGTCACCGACATCGGCCGCCAAAGTCTCTTATACAAAACAAGACAGCAGTGTTTCAAGAATTCTCAAGCTGTAAATTTGCATTTGCCCTGGTTTTCGTGACCGATGCTGTAGAATGTCCAGTGATGTGCAACCGAAATGCCCACGGCTCATTTTGAACTTCGAACCCCCAAAATCATGTTCTATGTCAGTCTGTACTCCATATGTCGTGGAAGTTATCTTTTCATCTCGGTATTTATATTAATGAAAGGCAACCACTATTTTAACATCACCACCGCTGAACTGAAGCTGCTGCGCGCTGGATACGGAGTATTTTGCAAAGTAACCTCAGAAACCACATGACTTTCACACTGTGATTCGCAATGTGGGGTTAGCAAAATAGTTCTGGGTTTGAGAACATCATGAACGAGGGACTCAGCTGGGTTCCAGGTGAGCCTCCCGTAAAAACCAAATTGATTTGAAAATGAGTGTATTTGTCGAAATGTTGGGTTGGTCATTGCAGTGGGTCTGGCAATCGCTCCAAACTCGATTACCGTTCAATCTAAATTAATTGAATTGAAAAACCTGGCTTTCAGACTGTTCTGCGGAACATGCTGAGGTCAAAGGTCATGCTGAAGTAGTGGAACATCAGAAAAGACTAGAGTGCGGTCAAAAGCTTGTGCTTGACCCAATTATTTCAGACGAGTCATTGTGTGAATCAAGTTTTGAAGAATGTTCTCTGGTCATTGAGCGATTAGCTTGACCTTCTGATTTGTGCCTTGCTGTCGGTCGAACGCCCACCCCAACCTTTCAGATGACTTGGAATACATTCTTGGGATGCATTTCCACCCAGTCAGTTACACCTCATGGCTCATGAAGCTTGAACGAATAATTCTGGGAGGCACTGAGATGGACCATCGCGTTGGTTGGAAACGAAGGGATTATGGAGCAGAGTTGTCAGCCAAATTAACCAAAAAACTGCCTTTGCATCTGAAAAGATGTGAATCACACTGCCTAAAGATTTGACGACGCAGCAGAACGAGTTTTGCACTGAGGAAACACCAAGACAGAAATAATGAGAGACTAACTTCACAATTATTTTTGTGAGGGAAACTTAACAATCGTAGCAAATATTCCACAACTATCTGGGTTGTGGTCGAATCAAACCTCTCTGATTAGCTCCATGGACACCATAGATTTGTCAAAGTGTATCATCCGCCATAAACAAAGTTGTAGGATGAAGGTGCTACCTACAGCAGGACTGGATCTGTCCCGCTGACTGTTCTGATGCCAATGAGTTTGTGCGTCAGAATGTGAAGTTTTTTGTCAAGAAGCTCTTGGCTCGTGTCTTTCACTGAGGACCATTAGTAAGAAATCAGGCGAACTCTCAACAAAATCAAGCAAAAAAACTGCGGTGCGTCATCTGCCTCTATCCACTACTTGCTGGAATTAAGGCCATAGGCAGTCAAGATCAGAGAAAGAACTATCTAAAATTCTGCTTGTCGTCTATGTAATAAAAAAAACAATAAAACAATGCCCGACAGACCAAACTCTTTATTTGGTACCGGCCCGTGTTTTATTACCGTGTGCCACTCAAGGAGTCAATGTCAAGACATGCAGACAGTGGATAAATTGGCTACTGATTATGATAAATGATCAGAACAATTAAATGAAGCTTCAGATAAGCTGACTGATCTGATCTATAGGGCAGTTCATATTTTCGGGGAAAAGCAGTGAGCCTTTAGGGATTTCCCCGAAGGAGACCAGAACTTTTCCTAGTAACCGGCCTAATCAAACAGTTAAGTTTTTCACGTAGTATAAGTCCCCATTTTCGTATGCATACCTCAATGGAAGAATCGATGCTTCCGGATATATGTGTTTGCAAGTGCACGGCGATTTATCGAGTGAATCTGTTTGTCTTTCGATGTGCTTCGAACAGTGCCATATCACATATGTTCTGCACACCTGAAAATCTTTAGACGCGCTACACAAAGGTTTACCTGGAAACGATATAAATAACACGAACAATGACAATGACAGCGAAAAGAGCAGCAAAGAGTGGTTTAGCGTTATATCACTTCCCAACAATCATAACCGTATGTTGGACTGAAACAAACCAAGTAGTAGCTTTCATCGTCTGATTATAGCTCAGAAGATATCAGATGAAAAAAGGCAAATCAAACTTTCCATTAAGGAAGAGCTTACATAAGTGTTCAGACTACTAGCCGGAAGATCGTCGGTTCGGAACTCCTTGTACTTTCATGAAGTGCTCATTGAGCATTATTCCAAATAAGGGTGGAGCAGCTGTACAGCACTTTTAGGGTTCTTAGCGTAGGCTTACTTCAAGTACAGGATAAAACCTTATTTGGGAAATTTGAATAAAATGAATTGGATGATGTTCTGAGTTTTGAGCAAAGTGAGCTAGCGCTTTCTTGTCATCTTAATTGTCTTAACCAGGCTCATGTAAGACATGGTATCATATACTCTGATCTATATGTAATATTCCACCGTTCCTTTATTCATAGAAGAGGTGCTTCGGGAAGCTTCCTATGTATCTTGTTCCTCAATGTTTGCTAAATTGTCTTCGTTCAAGATGTGTGCCTGATCATCCAGGAATCGCTGCTTTTTTTGAAGAACCACCAATTACAGTAGAAATCTGGACATAAAAAACGCATCATACTGTTCAGCGACTAAAAAAACTTACGTGAAACCAGAGCGGTCTTCATAATGCAGTCTTCCATGCCACTCGGTTGGAAAATCGTCATTTCAAATTGATTGAAAATCAGCTCAAGCAATTCCCATTGAGTTATGACCCAATGTGGAGGACCAGAAGCAGTGGAAAGAGCATTTGAGGAAAACCCATCTGATTATAGGCTTGATGCAGCTTCTACCACATTATCGGCTAATCTATTCAGGTAACAGAATCTTGCTGTGTAAATTGTGGTTGCGCCTGATGAGTCTGTCTCGTTATTGCACTTGATTAAATAAATAACAACTCGAAATTTGTCGTTTGGGCTTAGCGAAAATTAACACAGTTATCCAGAATGAAAGGAAGTAACTAAAAATGAGACAAAAAATAAACATAAGTAGCAGTTTTAACTATCCTTCAAATACATCAGTTATCTGATCCGTGTCGCTGGTTTCATACCATGTGGGAGTTTAGTGTTTGATAGATTCTGTTGAACTCTCAGGTTTTTGTTTTCCCCTCACCCCACAAAGTTGATTTACAGTGTAATGAATCGATTAGGTTCATTCTTTGAAGAAAGGCAGTAGCGTGTTTGTACACCAATGAGCTACACTTCATCACTCGGTGGTATTGCATAGTAATGGCTGAAAATCCAAGTTGATGTGAAAGTTTTGTACTGAATCAGTGGATCACTGGAATTCATCTGGGAGCTAGATTCCAAAACAGGATAAACCGGAGGTGTGTTCAAAGGTGGCCTTTGCTTTTGATATAATAAAATATGCTACTCAGAACAAAAAAACTGTACCTGAAACGTAGTGAAATAGCAGGAGCTTCAAGCTATGCGCGTGCTATTAGATACTACAAAATGAGGCAAATGGTTTTTGGTTTGTCCTTGTCAGATGGGTTCTCTGACTAATGGCAACCCCAATGAAGGGGATGCCAAAGTGAACCAAGCAAAACTATTCAGTAAAACCTGGGAGGTGTACAATTAACTGACCATTAAAGAAAGAGTGGCTTGTGCAGGAAGATGCAATAAGTATCTAAGTACAGTTACGCCCACATTACTTATAATAGCTTAGGGAAATCGAACATGACAACCGCAGTTGGTTGTTCACGGCTGGAGGCAGTTGGAATGCATGAAGATCATGGTTACTGTAATCTTCCCACTAGCAAAGTTTGTAGCGGTTTCGAATCACACGCATTTTTGCCCAGTTATTATTTTGTATTTGTTTTCACGTGTATGTGAAGTATTATTCGGATAAAAATGAGTTCCATGTATGCGTTTGCCTACGTCATGCCTTCCTTATTGTGTGATAATACTGTAAACTGCATGTGGTCTGGCGAAAATTTGGTCTCATCCAGACTCGGCAGCTAGGGCACGTTGGCTAGGACACGTTTTGGCTCCTTGGTCTAATAATGAGAAATTAGCTTCCGTAAAAAAGTAGCATAATCATATCCGCCAAAACACTCCGAATTTTCTTTCAGACTTTTGTTATTGTTTGCCAACTGTGTCACATTGTTCTTAATGAAAGTGTGGCCAGTTGTTGGTGAGCCTACTGGGGACAGCTATGTAATTGTTCCAAACATCTGGCACAAATCTTCTACTGCATTGATTTTGGCCTACATGACTACCCTCTTTTGAAAAGGACTTGGAACAAAAACTTTGGCGCAACTGCTGGGACACACTTCATCACTCTAGGAAAATTTCAATGAATATTAGAGTGAAAAGTTTGTTGATAAGTCTTTCTAGTACGTAAACCTTGCTAAAAATTATGTTTGTGCATCAGTTGCTTACTTGTAATTGGTCGACTGTTTTTATAGGTAGTCCATGTGCATGCTGTAACAAGAGAGGTCGATGGAGGCAGTGCAGACTCAGGCCAAGGCGCTAGTGAAGATGAACCGGTTACAGCCGAAGGATGGAAAGGTAAGTTGGTGATGGTCGGCTGCTTGTGTGCTTATTCACGTGCAGCAGTGGTGTTGTCATATCTTATCCTCACTAGTTGAGCTCTTGTTTTGCCGTGATTTACTTGTTTTGATGATGTGTTCGACTTCGGCGCAGACATTACCAAATGCGTCGAGATCTCAGAAACGACTGCTATTTTCTTCCTAAAAGTACGTGCTTCGAAAAAGAAACGGTTGGTAGAATTTGCCAGTTCCTTCTTTGGAGAGGTTATCTTCTGCGAAGACTACGCTACAAGGAAAACTGCTGAATCTTATTTCAGCCGAAAAATCCTGCCCAGATGTGAACGCCAGGTTGCGTACCCGATCTGTTAGATTCGATCACTCCCAGTTGTGCCGTTCTCTGGGAGTGAGGTTCTTGATTTTATGCATCGAACTTCTCACCAAGTCCAGCTTAAATAAGATTCTGATTGGTCGTACATAGCTGAACTTCAAATCACCCAAAGATCAATGCGGAATATTATGGATATGAAGCTCTCTCGGGAGTAAATATGCGATACTGATGGCTGGTAAAGTAAGTTGTCTTACAGAACGAAATCCTACCTGAGAAAAGCGTTAAATCTAGTTTGCTTGATAAGGTTACTGTATGTTCTAGGTATTGCATTTAGTGACATTCAGTTGTGTACATTTTTCATGAGCAAATTTAGTCTTTCGATTATGAGATATATCCTGTCAGCGAAGTACCTTCAGCCGGCCTCGCGGAAAAACATAGAAAATATGAGTTGTAGGTAAGAACTGCAAAGAGCACAATAGGATGTGGCAAAGTGAATGAGTGAACTGGAAAAATTCTCTCTCAAGGCGAACTTTTGAGCGACATCATTCTCAGGAGTGATTGAAGGTACTGAGTGTACTGGAGGTACTGGACTAAGTGTATTCCGATAGCATTCTTGCTCTAAGAAAAAATTATCCCACAAAATTAACACTTTCACGGAACGGCCTACCTATGTTCAGTGCCTCGGTCAGGTTATTTTGTAGCAAGCAGCTTTATCAGTCTTTCATTTTTTGTGAGCATGCGCTGCCTGCTTGTGGTATGGTAGTCGTAGCAGTAACTTTAATCTCAAAAGAAAACCCTCATTAATAGCTGCACCAGTTTTATGATCGTTTGTCCTGCGATCCAGTAGTGACTATTGTGCATTGTTTCGTACGACTGGAAACACTCACAGAGACACTACTTTACTGAATGCGGCGGCGTTTTCCATTAGTGTCTTCTCATTCGTTCCACATAATATAACTGTTAGCCTAAATGGCTCAAACGCTGGAGCTAAATTATAACTAATTTACATGGAGGAAACTACTCACAGGGTTACTAAAAACTCTTCGACAGCTCACGACCGGTTTCGCCCTTCTTGGGGCTCATCAGATAGGCGCAGTCCACGAGTTTCCGTCAACATTATTGTTCTACTTGAACCCAAATTGGACTGTTTTCGAGAAATACACTCAGTTGCAAATTAATTTGGTTTGCAAATGAGTGTATTTCTAGAACTACTTGGATGGGCATTTTTCAGATGAAAAAAAACCTCTGTCCGGCTTGTGTCAGTTCCCACCACAAGAATCTTTTTCGTCATTGATCATCAGCTGAACGAAACTAGAACATCTGAGCTTGTATAGGAGTATGTGCTTACACGCCAGAATTGATGTGCGGACCTTAATATCCGAGTTTGCCAACTTGACTTTTGTGATCTGAGACACTCCTGCTTGTGTTGAATAGTTGCTGAAACCCAGGGGGATAAAAAGATTAGTACAATAATTTGTGATAAATATAGTAACCCAAACCCATTGAATCTGCAAACGGAATATTCCTGTCCGAGCCAGAAGCAGTACTGTGGTGTCGGAGTTAAGAAAATAAGTAGGTGCATAGTTCACACAGCCGGTAACGGTAGGTTTGTTAAATTCGTATTCTATGAAGAGATTTTCGGACAACTGTCTTAAATATAGTGTAAGCCGAAAAACAACTGGAATCATTTTAGCTGTCACTTACAAACGGAAATGCAAAATCCGAACAAAACAACTACGCCCGTTAACCGAAATTGGAGAAGCCTCGTCTTGGGATGTCTAGGAAATCCTCACTTTCTTCAAGAGCTACACAAACTACAGAATTTTCAGAACAAACGCTGCCAAAAAAGTCAACCTTTGACCAGAAGTACGGGAGCTGTGATATACCGATGTATCTCTGCTCGGCTAGTTCAAGAAACAATAGGATCACTTATCATATCCGTTCACCTCATCTTGCTAAGTGGATTGGGGAAAAATATACTTTGGTACTCTAGGCATCTAAATTAAATTAGTCAAGTTTATTGAATAAAAGAGTTTCTACGTTTTGGAACATTTCAGCTCTTCTGGTAAGTATCAAGTATCGAAATTTTTCTGTGCACTTATAGGACGCCTGAAGATGCCTCGCAAGGACGGTAGCCCCCGTAGGGTAGTTACTTCAAAAAAGCAAGGAACCATTCAATGCAGTTGCAGGGAATGAACTCACTGTGGCAACTTTTACATTTCGTGTATATTGGGCTGTAACCCTAAGGAAGAGGAAAACTTACCGGTTTGTACTGACTGTAAAAAAATTCTTTCAGGAGATTTAAACTTACATTCTCCTCAAATATTAAACATTCATTTAGCATATTGCCCTGTTCCTCAAGAATAATAATGCTCACAGTAAATGACTTTAGTTAACACGGACTTTCGATCAGTTCATTGTATATCATACTCAACTACCGAAGAAAAATAATATTTTGAGATCCTTATGAAAGTACTTTTGAAAAACTTGTCCGTCGCAGACAGTTCTGCAGCACACGTAAACGATTTGTTTCTGTCACTTATTTATTATCTGTCTAAACTATTGGGCACATTCCTTTCATAAGTTGTCCTAAATCACTTGTCACATTTTCGGTTTTGTTCTCTCCGGATGATGTTAACCTTGCAATATCTAATGATGCGTTGTGTCAATGTGGAGGAGGAAAGGGGTAACAAGTACATACGTGAGTATGTCAGTTTCCTTGAAGACTCTCGCCTGCAAAGGAAATTTATTCCAGTCGTTCCTGCATTATAGTGTGGATGAACTTGTGTCATAAATTTTGTTGAAACCTATAGCTTGTGTAAGCGGAAATAGAGAATACCATTATATGTTTTGTTTCAATTGGTTTCTTTTATACAGCTACCTTGAAAGCAGCGCAGTCGAATTCCAGCTACATAAGTCACCTTAGAGTATTAACGGGATGTCGATTCTGACATTTCTTAGTATAAGGTTGCTTAGAAAGTTGAAGAAATCGTTTGACAAGTCTAGCTTACTTTCCAAATGATAATTCAACTCAAATGCAGACTGAAAATTGCGACAAGCAAAAAAATAATCCATAGTTTGGTCTTTTCCCACATATTTTCTAGTGGAACAGGGTTCAAAACGAGCTTTTGGGCTTGAGTGTCACACGGCCCACCCCGCAGCCGCCAACCAGCGAAGACGGAATTGGCAGTTCTGTTAAGTATCGATTTTTTGGCACAAAAGACATGGTGTCAGACGCCATGTAAGATAGACCAGCCTACCACCGGGGTTATTTCGTTTAGACTACTGCAGGTGTTTTGGTGACTACGGGAGTGTTTATCTCCTGCAAAGCAATCCATTTCATTGCACTCGCCGTCGCAACACAAGTCTGTAATTAGATGTGCGTTATAAAATGTGCGGGCGAGTGCAATGCTTTGTTGATTGCCCTGTTTTATGTGATGTAAAATTTAGGTACATACTTAATTTATATTCATTCCACACGGAGCTACTCAACGCTTACTTATGGGAGGAGGTGGTAAGCGCGATGAAAAACACTACATACTGGCAGTTCCGAAAAAGTGATTTTGCAAGTTTAATGCGTTGTTCTAGTACATATCGGCATGCGACTGAGATAAGAATGTTGAAAGGAAACTTTTCTGAGCCAAGTCTACAGCTTAGGAGATTTTGCAAATCTCACATCAGCCTTTTCTCAATGATGAATCGGTTTTCTACAGTGGGCACAAGTCCTAAACAAATGCTCACTTTTAATTCTTCTGGGTTTTAGTAGCCAAGTTGTGTTAATCAGGAGAAAAAGGCTTATTTATGCTAGCCGCAATACATTAGCGGATTAAAACGACAATCCAGAACAAATTGGAGCTAACAGAAAAACGACAGTACTGGACTGCACCACAGGATTTCAGTTTGTCGTCAGTAGATGAGTGATGTGAATCCCTTACATTTTGCTTGGGATGGAGTTTTAAAGATTCCTCACCGTGGTGTAACAAGAACAACGGTGCGAAGACAGAAAAAGCTCTCGAGAAGGGAAGACCGGTAATCGATTGGAATGGAAACTGACGCAAATTATTTAGAAAAATTTCAGGCCTCATTACTGGCGGCTAGCAATGTACAGGTGTTGCGGTGAAACAAAAACGCATCACACGAGTCAAGACCTATGATGCCAACGATGTGTTTGCTTTATTTCGTACCCTGTTACTCCGCCACTTTTTGAGTGAGCTTAAGGAATCTATAGTTGGTTTCCAAATTTTATTTGGTGCATGCGAATAAGGCTGGCTTCTACTAAAAAAATCACAATGTGCAATTAATTGCCCGATAATTATTACGACTTATATATTCTTGAAAGCTTTTATGATGGGAACGGCTGCTGGCTGTATGTGAATAACATGAACGCAAAGTGCGTAGATCAACCGGATCAACGAAAATAAAAAATTTGATGATCCAGTAAGAATTTTAGTCTCAAAAACTATAAGGTAAAACGTATTTCTTCGAAGGTTATTGAGTGGATCATCATCATTTGGATTTCAAGTGACTTCGCTGGGTGGAAGAACGTATCCACATTCCGAGCGGATATGACGGTATTTATACGTGCACCTCGCGTGATGCTTTCAAATTAGCCGTCGAGCCTCGTCCTATCGTTTCTTGAATGAGGTATGGACTGCATTTCAAGAACGTACGCAGTTTTAACAGCTTTGGACGATGTTTCTTCGCGCGGGCATTGTGTGAAACTGATAAACACACGACGACCGAGTAGTCCACCCATGTGCTGCAAAACACATCTTCATTCTTTATTGAAACCGGCACATAAATAAAGATAGATTGATGTGGATTTTTTTTAACTTTCTAGCCTATTTAGAGCACGACGACCGAGTAGTCCACCCATGTGCTGCAAAACACATCTTCATTCTTTATTGAAACCGGCACATAAATAAAGATAGATTGATGTGGATTTTTTTTAACTTTCTAGCCCTATTTAGAGCTACAAGTTTGCTCGCCCTGTTTAAGGTAGCGAAGACCGTTCACCCACAACATCAACATAGGTGGTCGTTTGTGAAATCGCTTGAATTTTTTGGATTGACTTCCTGTTTCCTGTGTGTAATCCGGATCCCTGAGCTAAAACATATGACAATAGTAGTAAACAATGATGCAGTACTGGGGTAGCTCTTCAAACTATTCAACTCAGCTTTGTTTTGCTTTTCACAGGCACCATACAGTTCTCTCAGCAACAGCCCTCAATACATTTAAACGGCTTCAGTCCAAATGCTGAGACACACACTGAAAAATCCTCTACTGTAGGCTCAAGAAATCCCAGTCGCCCTGTGCTCTGTACAACACAGCCCAACATTACGACATTTTTGCACGCATCAAAAACGAGTGAAGCGGACAAATCCATTGAATCTGAAAACTCGTCGTCACCCACCTGCATTTTGCCACCGCCTCCGCCTCCCCCGTTGAGCACATGTCAACCCCGTTGGCAGAAACCCCTATTTGGGAACGACTTTGGACACCAAAATCATCGCTTTGAAGAGTTTCCGCTGAAAGCACCTAGTCGTATTGCACGACAGTCTGCAACGCTACCGTCAGCTTATAAAATGTCACCGCCTACAACGCGACGTGTAGTCAATTACTCGCCGACGCAAGAACGACCGGTGAAGACAAAACCTTACTCCATATTCAGGACGAACCAGAAGGAGGTCAAAGGTTAAACAGCCTGTTTACCAAAATTCTTCCACTCCATTTGACGATGCCCGGTTTTGAGTGACAATATCCACTTTGTTTTATTCCTATCACAAACAAACACCCTGAAAAACTTTCTATTTACATCAGTGATGCATTCCATGACGTACTAGTCCCTGAGCGATACACAGTCGGACACCGTGGCAACATTCCATGTAACGTTTTCATATTCGTGATCTCCATTTTTCAACTTATTGCTAAATTCTCCCTGCCAGCTGCAAACAGCGATTTTGCACTTAGAGTTTTCGTACAGATTTGAAGGAGCATATGAGCTCCTTCAGGAGGAAGATTTATTATAACGTGTTGAGCCTCCAGGATTTGTGGATACTGGTAACTTCTCAGCTAATTCCTGAAGACAGACCAACACTCCTTCCGACTTGCGGGTAATTTCGTTTCCTGACCGTCGTCAGTTTCTTACTATTTGCACTATTCCTCTTCAGCGTTGGTATTTACCTTACCACTTAACTTTATTTGAGGGAAAACTTGTTTTTAATAAATTTTCTTTTCAAAATAGACAGCACATTAAACATACGAGCGACTTTCGTCTGAGACGTGATGGCAAACAGCCCCCGGAAAATCTGTAGAGTTTTCGGCTGAAAAGCCACGGATGCATCCATAATAAACTAACTGAACTGAACAAATCAGTACGTAGAATCAGTGAACAGTGCATTCCTAGGCAAGAGAAAGCGGACTCTATCGTATTCCTTAATTGTTTCCTGACTATAAGGTGAAAATGGAATAAAGGCTGCTAACACGAACTTTAAGTTCTCTGTTTTAAATAGTCCGGGGTTGTGTACCAAACATCTTCAGAAGCCTGCACGTGTTTTTTCCTATGACATTTTAAGATATTTTTCTGTTAAGACAGCAAAGTGCACTAAATTCCTGATCACAGAACCGGACATTTATCCGTAACGTTTAACCAGCAAGCAATAATTTAAAGGGGACCACCTAAACAACTGCGTATGATACCCAAAAGCCTGTGCTGTGGTCCAGCTACATCTCACCGACTGCCACTACCTAACCAGAAGAATGGCCCTACATAAACGCGAACCCAGGCAGTCCAAGTTGTCTGCATCTTACGTGGTCCGCGGGCCTTACCTAAGCCGAAAAAGCATTGATTCTTTTGTTGCTGAAGAAAGTCCTCTAAGTGATTGAAAACCGCGGGTCTTTGAGAAAATCTATACAAACAACATTGGTTCTTCCACCACGAATCAACCTAGCCATATGTCACTTAGCGTACCAAATACGATTAGTATATTCCCGAATATTTTCGAACCTTCTTGTGCAATCAAAACGGCAAGAATAGGCGGTAAGTGAAGGTGTACCGATCAAAACGGGCAAGTTCCTGCTAAATGCATAAACACAGATTCGGCTGGTAGTTGCGGGGTTCACAGTGTGTGTTTCCCCGTCGCGGACGAGGTCCACATCAACACACCATCACCATAATAACCATGCTGAGACAGGAGTGAGACTGTTCAAGCAAAACATAAGTACAGTGTATGGAACTTTTGACTTGTATGAACCGAATCTGTCAAATACTTGATCCTACTTGATCATGAATACTCAGTCCTGGGAAATGAGTCGTTGTAAAGCAGTTTCAAGGGTTAAAAATGGTCAGAACGATTGTGCCTAGGCCTGGTTCAATGTCGGTACTTCCTATAAAGCGAAGATACACACAGCTTAGTGAGCGTGTTGTTTATTCTAATGTGTGAACATCAGAGTTAATGCCAACCATAATCAAACCATGAGAAAATGCTGTTTCAGCCGTTTTTTAGCTAATTGGACAACAAAATGCAAACATTATTTTACGCATTATATATATTGTTACACATTGCATAAAACATTAAATATCACATATTTTATAACATACATAATGTGGTATTGCAAACTAATTCATTTCGGCAACAAGTCAGGGGCAATAATCAGTAATCCAAGAAGAAAAAAATTGCCGTCCATACCGTTCCTCTGGAAATCCAGCAAGATATTCATCTGTCAACAATAAAATTTCACATTGTTGCAATTAGCAATAAGTTTTTTTTTAGTTTGAGCCATCATAGGTGTTGGGTTAACCTGAAAGCAACCCTTTGAATATGATTAGAGTGTTTAAAAGGAACTCGCGATTTACCACGGACTGGTTATTGGGGGAGAACTGAAACCACGTCCAGGAGGTGTGATTTTCTCTTAAAAGCTCATATGGTAGATATTTCGGGCAATATTGAATAAACGTTTTGGAAACTAAGCCGAAATGCAGCTAGCCGATGATGTCAGTAAATTACTTTCATACAATGGATAATGGCATACAGACACGCAATCATTATTTGTTCCCGGGATTTTGGGGACACGTAGGATACTCATCAATCAATTTTTGGACGTAAAGGAAATTATTCTGACTCATATTTCCTAAGTACGTTTGCTTGCTCTAGTTGATTTCAAGCATTGTATGACTTTTACCAGAAGGATGAACTAAAAGCTAAAACCGACAGAGTTTTTTAGCAACAAAGTGACAAATTACTTATGTATATCGGAAAATCACTCGTCTAGTGTAAAGTAAACGTAATGGTACAGTATACTAATCACGAATCATTCCAAACATATCTCGATTCTCTTATTTATTTTTACCTGGCTGCAAATATACCGGCCCGTAGGCCGCTAATATCCGTCTTCACTTCAGCATTTTGGACGTTATCACTTGGTCTGTTAGCTTCAAAAGTACTTCCACCTTTCTAGCAAAATTAACGTACACTGGAGGACAACATTTCTACGGCCATACTACAGAGGAATGATCCTGGCAAGGTTTAGTATGCAAATAAAATTCTGGACAAAGTCGAACTCGAGAGTATCAGAGTAAAGTGCGCACTTTATTAGTTTGCGTCTACCTTTCGTGCTTATTTGCTTCGTAGGGCACTCGTTAAATAAACATGTAACGAAGATATTAGTGCCGACCATTGTATGTGATGTTTGGTTGGTTAGAGACATTCTGTTGAGCTCAAGTGATCAAGTCCGTGCGGTGTGAGGTATTTTGCGTGTCACTTACAGGTTAACTGAAAATTACTGTGGCTAAATGGCGATTATCGTTCAGTGACTACTTGTTCAGAATCTGATTTCATCAAAAGTAGACGTACATAGCTATTCTCTGCTGACCAGTTCCGAAGGATAGATGGCGTGGTCTCTATGGTGTGCGACATATCTTGGATAACCGCGGGGTTTCCCGACTTTCTAGCATAAAACTACTGGCATAATTACTTGGCAAAGATTAGGCATTCAGCAGTATTCGTGTCCTTACCCTAACTGTAGTGTTGATTAAATTCTCCACTCTATGCACCTTCAAATGATTTCTTGTCAAAGTCAGACCGATAACTTCAAACCAAGACTCAGATAAATTGGAAGATGAGGACAACCCAGCATGAAGCATTATAATCTTGGGTCGTGACTGGGACCTTGTGAATCCATGGGTCAGTCTTGTAGAAGTTCCCAGCAAATTGCATTGGAATGTGGACAAAATCCAAGTGAATCTATACTATCAGTAAACTTTTCTCCGTAGCTGGCCCACCGTGCTTTGGAATTTGTGCAGTGAAATCCATGAACACGCAATAGATGAGCTTCGACGCACCTTTGGTCATGTTCAGTAAAGCCTGAAAAATATATCGGACAATCTTAGATTTTTACCTCTCCATATCTAGCTGTAAACAGAGTTGAACGGAAGACAAGTTTTAGGAGAAAACTGTAAAACTGGAGCCAGTAGTCGACCTTATACAGTCCTGTGTCGTTTGGTTTTTAGACGTGACCCAGCTCTCTTAGTTCGGTTGACTGTAAGGTTCGGGTGTTCACGATGTCTTTGCAAGTGTTACCTTATTCTGGCTGCGGCACAGCAATTTCGTGGAAGTAGTTTTGATCAATTTTGGATTACCTCTTCTAAGCCAATTCTGCGCCATTCCAAGAAGTGCTTAGCGGATAATAGCTCTGGTGTGCAACAGGTAATACAGCCTGAAAGTTGACGCGGCCTTTTCAGGTAGGATATTCAGTCTCATGAAACATTCATTGTCCAAACTCCGCATCCAAATCAGATACATAATTGACCTATTTTATCATTCATTCCATTCGCTTGGATCTTTGAGGATATTTATATTGCACTTTTGCTAATGTCTGAATGCCTAAATAGTTAAAAGACTATCTGCTCAGGTTAATTTTGCCCCCTTTTCGGAGGGAGTGACAGAATTTTTTTTATAAATTTAACTAAGAGACCACTAAGTCACCATAAAGTTTGTCCAACTCATCGGTCGCTTAACTCGAGAATGATATGTGCGATATCAAACATACATTTGGATGGATTCCGCACCAAATCCTCTAGGTATATGTGATGGTTGTGGAAAATGCAGACAAAAATTGTCTAAAAGCCACTCTCTACTTATTGAGTTAGTATGTTCTCAATGTAAGTGGCCAGCAATATAAGTGAGCCACAGTAATATAAAAGTTGGTGCTCAGTTGCAACCAGCCAGCCATCACGAGGAAAGTAATATTCAGTTGTTCAAGCATATCTGAGGAATTCTTTGGAACTGTAGTTGCTGAGCTTACCGGAAGTGAAAAGTCTACGCGTACGGCACGAACCGTATGGTGTAGTGCCACTCTGATTGGTGTTCCAATATCGCGGAAATAATTTGACGCCAAATTAATGAAATTTCCTGGGTTTGGTATATCCAATTTAAAACTCCTCAAAAAACTACAGGTAACCGGCACAGAAAAGCGAAAATTCGCTGGCTTTAGAACCAAGTCCAAATTTTTCAGGAAAATTGAACTGAAGGGTTAAAGTAACGAGTTTGATCAACCAATTCTGCCTTGCTGCCGATCACAAATCCAGTCATTAGGTCATACGTAAATAAACTTCCTCAGTCTCACAGATAAAACCTCCAGGGTAGTGACAACGGAGACTCAATTTGTTCTGACAATACCGCCCAAATGCACGCTGAAGCTAGGCGCACCCTTGCAACTTCTCATTTGGTGGAATCTATGCAGCCACTGACGTTTATTCTGTGGTCATTCGTGACGGACGTTTCCAAATTCAGTGAGTTGAGATTAATTGCATCTTTTAGGATAATTCAAATCAGAATAATTACCACGACTATTATCGAAATTTGGCGTCGATTGTATTGAGAATTACGTGAGGATTTTGATCCTTTAAGACAATCTGTTACAAACGGTCTCAGTGGAAATGAAGATACAGTCTATATGCATGCCATTCAGGCACTTGAAAAAGATAACCTGATCGTGGAGCCGGTAGATTTCGTCAGCAAGCTTCTAAAGCGATTGCGACAAGCATTATTTCAGAGGAGGCAATGCTAGATACACACTATTGCTGTTATGGTACAATTTCCACACCTAATTATAGTATGAAAGTTTGCGGTAAGATATGGGGGCGTGGCCATTTAACTTCCAGACGACTGTTAATGAGATGGATATGAGACCTCACAAGTCAAGGATAAAACCTACTTAATTGAATTGGGCTGTCACTTTTCAATCATAAGGT